ACCCGTTACACTAAAAGTGGATTCTCTGGCCACGTTACAAAACGTACAAAATATTGTACACATCTATAAAGGTTTACCTCAAGGACGTGCTTCACAACAGCATCCGAGGCACCAAACAGGTCAACCCCAGTGATGCCCCGAACATCAGTCTCCACAGCGCCGGGAGACAGGTTCTTCTTCCTCAGACCTGGAACATCATTTAGAGCACCACGTGCAAGGAAGGAAAGCCATTCATGTTACAGAGCACAACCACAGTATAGGGAGGAATAAAGAAAATATACAAAAAAACAAGTAATTATAAAAATTAAAAAAAATAGATTAAATATGGAGTTATGAAATCAGGAAAAAAGGAAAGAACTGTTGGACTACTGAACACACACAGGGTTGAAACCCACCAACACAACCTCTGCTTTCTTATTACACACCAACTAGAGTCTGGAAACAATCAGCACTTTCGCAGCACCATTGATTAGTTTACTGAACCAGAGAGAATCACTTGTGATTTGATCGGACAGCAGAGTAGAAGCACTGATCATCTCCAGGACTGGAACGGGACCAGGAAGGAAAATTTACATGAAAACACAACTTGTGTCGATGATTTTAGCCCCTTTAAAGACGATGTGGTGAACAGACAGCTCAACAGCACTTGACAGAGGGAAGCTACGGCACTAGGAACCTGTGTGCAGGTGTGAATGTTTCCGAGGAGAGCATGGGACAGGATGACACAGTGTGTAGAGTTGGCTGATGAGAGTGGGGTGGGTGGCAGAATTGTAAAGACGTGCTCTGATGGGGCATTTAATGTCAGAAATACAAAAACGGGCATTAAGTTTTTAAGGTGGCATGCATGTTTTAGTCTAGATGAGTTGGTCACGTGCACGATAAGTGTAACAATGTAGTTATGGGTTAGCAGCAAAGCTCTTTAGCCACATTTGTGGTTTTAGAAATTGAGCCAGCCATACTGGTATCTAGGGTATAAAGAGGCTATTTTCTTGTCAGTACTAAAAAAAAAACTAAGAATGTTCAATCTTGTTAGTAGTCAAAGTTGTAATAAAAATTTTAAAAAGTTGACGTGTGGGGGAAAAGAAGCATCGACATCCATATGGTGAGTGCCAAGTTTCCTAAAGCAAAATCTGGACATGCATCCAGTGAGGAAAGTTCCAGGTTAAAACTGTATGTGATGCAGTTAAGTCATGCAGTTCAGAGTTTATAAATGATGTAGAAATTAATGCGGTCAAGCTGGCTGCGGAGAAACGTTACAAAAACGCATAAATCCAAGACAGGTTAGGGTCACAGATCAATACCATTTGCATCTTTTCTATTTTTTAAAGTAAAAGATGAGAGAAAAGAAATGGTTCAGTTAGTGCAAAGACAAAGAAGAGAAAAAGATATTAAAATGTTTTAAGAGCATGCAGACGCACAGAAACACTTTTCCTATTAAATATGTCCATATTTTACTACACTGTATTGACTGAAATAGTTCTGATCATCTCAGGAAGACGGTGCAGCATGTTAATCTAAAATACATTAGTAATAACTCTTATGATAGTATGAGTAATGCATGTCTTTGTTCTGAAAGGAGAAGTGTTTCTGCAAACAGCCCACAGAGATTTGTCCTCTCTAAAAGTTGGGAGTGAGAAAGAAGAGGTTCAGGACTTCTATTCATCCTGTTCCTGGCTTCTCCCTCACCCCTTAAACCACTCTGTCCCCAACCCCTACCCCAAACCCAGCCCACTGTCCACTCTGGTCTGTTCTTCCCCCAGGCCCTCACCAGAGATATCCCACACTCGCACGGTTTGGTCCAGACTGGCTGACACGACCAGGTCTTCAGATGGGTGAAACTGGGCGCACATCACATAGTGGTTATGTCCCGTGAGCACACTGTGGGCGACAGAGAAAGATCAAACTAATTCCTGGAACTTTAACAACATATGCTCAGACTATTCTTGAATGAACAGCAACATCACACACAAAACTTATGTTCAACTTGAATATCTAAAAAAGTTAAGTCTGGTCCTCTGGACATTCAAAAAAACAAAACGAAGAAAAAAAAAGTAGAAATGTTTTGTCTTTCATTCGAAAGACTTAAAGACAGAATACAGCACCTCAGACTGAAGAAGTCTTTCGGATGAAAGACGAAACGTTTCTACATTTTTTTTGTTTGTTTTGCTTTTTTTTTTAATGTCCAGAGGACCAGACTTAACTTTTTTAGATTTTTCTACCTGGATTATTGAGCATGCATCAGGATATCAACTTGAATGTTTCACGAATGAGAAAGATTGATGCAAAAGCAATGACTGTCTAAATACTGTCACGTTGACAGTTTGAATAAAGCAACAATGTTGAGTTTTTGATGCCCAAAAAAAGGGCTAAAATGCATTTTATTGAGTCTTAGAACTTGAATGAAACTTGAACTCCATGTCCCAAAACACTGAGGTGCCCTGTTGCCTTACCATACGCAAGTCCTCGACTGCCAGTTCCAAATGCGGATGGTCTGATCATCTGACGCGCTCAGAATCCAGGGATATTCCTACAGGCAAGATTAGAATTCACCGACAACTCTCTATGCAACCTTAAGGTTTAATTCAATGGTTCTAGAGCTCCATGTTTAGTCAAAAATCAAAGTCAAACAGCTTTTGAACATCTTACAGGGCCTTGTATTTCTCAAGAGCTCAAAACTACAGTCCTATCCATATTTTTGCATGTGTTCTGTTTGTGTCAATCTGGTCATATCCACCAAAAATGAGTTTTTCTGATCACTTTTTGCAGTTTGGACATGATGACGTCAAACTGAGTGAGATCAATTCGCATGTCTCACTTTAAAGAGGAACAACAAGCTTTGCCACATTTGATTAGATAACAAACTACTTCTTTTCCCTTGGACTTTTGTGCAAGCAAAAACAGTCGTCAAAACAACACATGCAGGACTTAATACAGTCTTTGCAGCGCAAAATTTTAAACAATGTGAGATTACTTGCACAGTAAGCGACTGGAAGACACGTCAAATGGGAACTGACCTACATAAAGCCAACTTTAGATCGCATCATGAAAAATATTTGTTACGTCTTGATGCGTTTTAAAGCGGGAGTTCCAACTCACATGATGAAAGAAAGTAGTTCTGATATAGTCCAAGTGGCCCAGAAGGGTGAAGAGGCAACGTCTCAGCTTGTAGTTCCACACCTGGTTCAACAGACATTTACTTAAAAAAAAACTTGAGACAGCATTACAATCAATCATTATAACTGATATCTAATGCAATAGTCCTAAAGGATGCTATAGTCAGTCTCACCTTTATTTTATAATCGTCTCCTCCAGACACAAAAAGAGGTTGTTGTTTATGGAAATCAATTCCTCTGACCGGACCTGCAGGCAAAACCAGAACGAATGCATTTTTTTTCCGTTTCCATTTGGAAACCCGTACAAAACCTTAAAATATTACACAGGCCACGTCACTCTTACCATCATGCTCATCAAATTTGTCGATCAGTGTACACATCCGATAGTCCCACAGCTGGATTACACCGTTGTGCAAACTTGCAAGAACCCATGGCCTTTTGGGATGGAAACTCAGGCCTGAAATATAACACACATCGGATTAACTATAAGGCACACTTTATTTTGAAAGAGCAACGAATCCTGTAAAATCCAGAAACGAATCATTTAGTTTAAATAACTTTCTAATAGGTAAACATATTTCAACATTATAACGTGTATTTTAAATTATTATAAATAAATGTATTCCAACAACAATTTTTTTTAAATAAATAACCCAAGAGAAGCGCCCGCTAGCTAAAATTAGCTACTGTGCTAGCTGCTACACTCTTACCTTTGACTCGGGCCGACTTCGTTTCAAATTTCGTTAACATCCTCGCTGTTCGACACTTCTGCTCCTACTCTTAAAGTCGTGTTAACAAAAACAATTAAACCTGAACAAACGTAAAACAATACAAATGTTAGAGGCAGGCTGCTTCAACCGGACAGATATCGTTCGCCCATTTAGCTGTTTCGTCTTCTTCCGGACACGTAGTCCGCTTCTGTCTTCCGGTTTTGAACAATAAAGTTTTGAACGTTTGACGCAGAAAGCTCCACGGCAGCGGCGTATAGAAATAGAACACATAGAGCTGCACAGACAAGAGCCAAAAACGCAGTTAGCCACTCTAAATTATAAATGTCTTTACGATGATAGCCTTTTTATTTATTTTTACTTTATTTAAGGGAAGAAAAAAGAACGACAATCTCAAACAAAATTATAAACATGCAAAAAAAAAAAAAAAAAATCGTCTGTCTTTCCTCCTAATTAGGTTAACATTAGCAGAAACAAGTTAACATGTTATTCAGAGCATATTTAAAATTAAGTAACATTATTAAACACAGTAATAAAAAAATGTAATTACTTTCATAGAAAAGGAACCACGTGACACTGACTTTTTTTTTTTATTGTTTACTGCTTTTACTTATCATAAAATAGTACTGTATGACTACAAGTATTTAGCATTAATTTGTACAAGGCCAGAACTTTGTATTTTTCTCAATTTGCAAAAACATTCTTTAAAAATTATCATGTGATCCTAGAAGCCTTAAAGACCCAGTGAAATTAGATGTTAGGTGATTTTAACACAAAAAAGCTGGTGCAATGAATAAATGCACCTTTTGGAGTTTTGTCCTTAAAATAATCTGGAATCATTGAAACTTCTTGAAACGTGACGCATGCATAACACATGAAATATGCTCGTTCTGTTTTTACAGTCATACCCTCTTCAAACATCTTCCTTACTTAATTATTACATATTTGTAAATTATAGTTGAACGATTTGGTTTATGATTATGCAGCATATTTTAGAAGATCTTGATTTTTCATGTGCATCTTAAGCAAACTGACGTCTCTGATTTACATGACCGGTTTCTAACCATAATGTTGGAACAAAAATGACAATCCACCACACAAAAGCAAGTTTCATTATATCAATTATTTATTTGTTATATTTACAAAACAAACTAGTGGTAAATTACAAGTTTTGTTTCTTTTTTCAGGGCGCTGCTTCAAGAGCTGACTGGCCCGAACTCCCACCCTGTGATGAAACCTCTACAGCTGATAAATCTGACATATTCCCAGTGCAGAGCTAAATCCTTTGACAGCGCCCTTTCATTGTGCGATTACCGACGGGCTGATGGTCGTGTCGTTTCTGGACCCCTCTCTATTATTGTCAGTAAACCAACCCTGTGCCCAAAGCCAAAAAGTGCTTGCATTGAACTCTGCTGCTCACTTTTTCTAGAAAGCACACACTGAGCCTCTAATGACATGCCCTCCCATCCTTTCACTCCCGCTCTGGGTGTCCACACCAAAACAACCCATCACTGCACATCACGGACACGGGGAGTCACGCAGGAAACACTTTGCACAGTAGCTCAACACAAAGATCACTGTAACCACAGCAAGGGCATCCAAGGATCGGGTCTATCACTTCAACTCAGGATGCAGGAACAAATATGGGCTGAAAACCTTTTACGACTTCCTCCGTCATCTTTTAGTTATTAAATTAATAGAAACGGTGCGCTTACTCGTTTCCGGTTTCCTTGCAGGTTAATAATTAGCTCTATAATTTAATCTTTCACAGATTTTAGGTTGAATTAAATACAAAAAACTATTATGTTAAAACTATATTCTGGATTGTTTACCTGAACTACCTGATCTTACATTTTTAAGACCTAAAAAATAACTTTGTCTTTATTAAAAGGCACAGTTTAAACCTGCAAGGTGGCCGACAGAATTTGCCATGCGGCTAAACAGGAAGTAAAAACAACAACAATGGCAGCCATCAAGAACTCTGTTAAAAGTAACCGTGAAGGGGCTGCTGGCTATTCATTGCAAAATGATTTTGGATCAAACGAAGTGTTTCCTTTAGGTTTTCGTGGCTCCTCCTGTCGATTCAACACCTTGTCTTCTCAAACAGTCTGGTCACACTCCCGCCTGATGTGTGCTTCACACTCCGTCATCCCTGCCTGCTGCTAAAAGACAGAGTGGCCGTTCGGCTCCTGATCGTCTGATGACCACAGCACCACCTCATCACATGACGGAGCACTGGTCCGCTGGCCCGGCTCCAGACACTCCTGGGAGATTTAGGGACTCCATGTCAAAGTTGAAGCCTGGAGGCTGAGGGGAGAAGAAGAAACAGGAACATTAGAAACCGCAGAGATCAGACACAACCAGGAGCTGTGCTGCAACTTACGGCATCTCCCGCCAACTCCTTAGGTGGTTGACCCAAGTCCTGCAGCTGGAAGGAAAATAAATATGATTAACGGGTTGTTTTATTCTTACTGTTTTTGTTTTTAATCTACAAAGCATTTAGTAAAAACATTATATGAGGATGAATTTTATGTCATGTTCTCACACAGGGACAATCATATCATTGTATTTTTATCAATGGCACTTATCACTAGAAATAAAATAAAAAAAAATCAGTAATCATTAGTGCAAGAGGGAATTATTGTGTAGATTTTATGATAGAAAGACTGTTGTAGATTAATTCAGCTGAGAGTAAAATAAACAGTCAGTGTCATAAAACGGCATCTTCAACCACAACACGGACAACGTGCACGGCCCCACGTTTCACGAAGCCACCGCAGCACTGAACGTCTAAATCCAAAAGATGAAAAAAAAAGAAACTTCTCTTTATGGATCATAAAAAAACTGCATGAGTTTGTTGCATCTGTGCTGTGAAATTCCTCTGGGCTTCTTCCACACCAGTGATTTCAACTACAGCTAGTTTCACTGGCAAATGTCCAGGACCAAAAAAAAAAAAGACAATAAAAACAATAATAACAGTCTAAAAATAAAAAAATAAAAAGTTGCCTCTTTATTTTAAAGGTGTACTCCAGCAGCTGAAATAATAAATGCAACCGTCAAGGTGGATGTGTTGCAGTTAGAGGTAGGCAACAAATAATGTGCGCTGCCTAGAGTACAATTTGCAAGCTGTGATTTGACCAAACATGATTTTATTTTATTTTTAAAGGACATTTAAAATGCAGCCCTGAAGCTCGCGGGTCCCAAACACTAAGAATTCAACAGAAAATCCTCCAGTTTTCTCAAAACTTTGAGCAGCCAGCTAGTCTCCAACAGTTGCAGTCCAGCGAGACCTTTAACCGTTAACCTGAGCAGAACTGTGAGCAGCACTAAAACAAGTATGAGATGATCCAAGTCTCTAATGTAAAGTCAATTGGGACTAACCTGCCACGTGTCGTTCTGAAGTGTAAATCGAGTCCGATTGCTTTCTAAAATATAATGTTCAGCTTTGAATCTGTTTGTGTGATAGGAAAAGAAGTTGCATCACCTTCTGCATCAGATCCATGATGCTCTCGAACGTTCTCTCCTTCTCTTCAGCTCCTTCTTCCTCCTTTTCAAAGAGCCTACAGATCTCTCCCATGACTTTAGCCTGCTGCTCGTAGCGCTGGTGGTCCTGGGCGCTGAGGCTCGGCTTGTTGGCCTCCAGCCACTCTGGGTACTGAGAAGGTGAGCGACAAATGTTAAAAGAAAACACTGAAGACCAACATGCCTGTTGTCTGAACGGACGCGGACCTTGGTGGTAATCTCTTTGAGAGATGGATAAAGCACTTCTTTAGAGAGAAGATTCTGCATGATGGACTGCATGATGGGCAGGATGTTCCCATCTTCTCCTCCTTCACCGCCTTCATCCAGCCCCAGGCCCTCCAGAGCTTTCACCAGGTCGTCTCCAGCTAGCCCTGAGGACTGAAAGAAAACGGCAAACAATGACTGTAAATTACGTCTGATGGTTTCAGATTAACTCTTTCTGTTTGACTTGACACACCTGCAGGTTGTCTGCATTCTTGGCAAGACCTTGGAGAGTTTCTTTAAGGCAGGAGGTGAACTCTTGTTGGGAGGCAGTGTCGGTGCCTGTTGAAAATACACAGAAGGTATCAGAGAAAGAAAGGATGCAGATGTAATAACCAAAGCTGCAAAGAAAAGCCAAGTCTTACCAACTTTGCCTGCCGCCTCCGACAGCTTCTGGAAGTGCTGCAGCAGTTCTGGCTCCTCCTGAGCCAGCTCGGTCATGGCCTTCTCCCACTCATCCTTGGCCTGGGTGGCCATTTCCCCCTCAAAGAGCGTCTCGAAAAGCTTGCAGTCCTCAAGCAGAGGGGGCTACAGGCCGACAGAAAAATGTTATTTAGTGAAGAGCAGCAAAGTGCGTTCTTTATCATAAGAAATGTACATAAAGTGGGAAATTTTTAACCTTTAAACGGTCATTCCAGTTTCTGTTTCAGACTTTAAATATAGGATTTGCTTTCTTAAATGACCTCAAAAGTAATAGTTTTTAAAAGCTTGAGTTTGCAGTGAATTTTTAAAATATATATATCTTTACAGCTCTTGAGAGGTAATCAAGCAAGTGTTACAGTTCATATTACTCATACTGACTCAAATTTACCAATACTAAAATTTTGTTTGAGTTTAAACTCTACAAAAACATATATATATATAATTTATTTATTTTACAGGAAAATCACGTCAGAATCTTCTAAATATTATAATAAATTAACTAAACTCTTGACACTAAATGATTTTTCTACGTAAAAAAAAAAACCTAAGCAATATAAGGAAATAAATGCAGCAGATATACTCAAACATTTAGTCAAAATAATTTCTGAACTTTAACTTTATTGTGGTCAACTTGGATCACATAAAATAAAGATTTAACCAGTATGTTCTCATACTGGAGACTTGAAGCGCACTCGGTTTCAAACTAGTTTTTCTAACGCAAACATTTTATTTTAATTTTTTTTAAATCCACAATAATCCTCTGGCAAAAACTAGTTTATGAAGTTAGCAAATCACTTGATTTTGTGGCAGGACTGTTTTTATTATGCTTTAATAAACATGAGCAGACACAGAAACAGAGAAAAACATATCTATAACAAGGAAAAGTCAGTTCAGTTATTTGATATAATCATTTTACTCTGTCCTTAGTTTACATGTCAAGAAAAGAAACCCTTTAAAATCAGCTGAGATCAGCTGAAACAGACCTTTTCTGCTCCTGAAGGTGAAGCTGCAGCAGGTCCAGGGGCTGGAGGAGCAGGTGCGCGGTCGAAATCATCCAGTGCACCTGAAGTGAAGAGAACCCATCAGAACCGAGCCCGTCACTGCTGCCATGAGGGCAAATCACAACTGTTGGGCCTGCTGCCACAGAAGTTACTAAACTATCAGCTACATCCAAAAACAAGCAAGTGGAAGCAAAACAATACAAACATTTTTTTAAGGCCTACGGGATGACACAGAACCGAACCCCGAGCTTAGCTGGTAACTGATGTCATGCTTTAACAATATATTTGACTAACAGAGAAGTTGTTTGCTTTATTCCCTGCTTTTAAAGCCGCCATGATGAACGGCGCTCCGACTGTTGCCGACTAAACTAGCCATCATCCGCCGGAGACCCCGCAGAGGACACGGTCACTGACAGGAGCGGGTCCCGGCGACGAGTCACATCCGAGTTAAGGTGACAGAAAATGGATAAGTTATTAGTCAACGCTCACTGTCCAATAACTCGTCCAGTTCAGCGTCGTGTCCGCCGGACAACTCTCCTCCAGTTCCCGACGCCATGATCTACCAACTGGAATGACAGCGCGGCCCCGAAATATGACGTTTTACGACAAATATGACGTCACACTGTCGTAAAGTGGAGGAGTCTGGTGCCATCTGGTGGACATTCTTTAGAATTGCACAAAGGTTTTCTTGTTTATTTTCTTGGAAGAAGAAAAAAAAAAGTTGGCTGTTATTGTTTTTTGCTAAAATTGCTCTGAAATCACATAAACTAATGTTAATTTAAAAATGCTGTAATTAAAATAAAATTCGTTTTTCAAAAATACATTTTCAGTCATAAAAAACTTACTTTAAAATGCCAATAATCTAAATCTGGTTGCAGTGTTGTTTCTAAAAATAAATAAACACTTATTTTACTATTCTTCTGCAATTTTTAAAATTTTTAATCATGGGTCTTGAATTCTTTTTAAAATAGTTTAATATGTTGGATAGCTGATACCCATGTGGTTTTTATTTACATTAATTTAGAAACAAAAATGATTGAAGTGGCGATCAAACTCCCAGCATGTTGTTCTCAGACGCCCTGGTTTGAATGTAAGAAACTTGAAAAAGTTAAAATGAGTGTTTATGTGGGGCATACTCCCTCGTCTTTCGGTCAGGAAACATCAGCGTCAAACTTTCAGTAAATAAATCTGGTTGCCGGGGGCTACCCATCTCTTGGTTGCTAAGCAACACAAACAAATAACCTAAAAATGTGATAACTTGGGTGTTGAAGGGAAAAATGTTTGGCTTGTTCAGTTTGAGCAGCAAACAGTGACCTTTTTATTAGAAATTCTTCACCGGGAGTTTCTAAAATGATTTGTTTTTGTGATAACAGGATGGAAATTTATGCATGAACGAGCTTCCCAAAACTAAATAACTTGATGAGTCTGTTTTTGCAAAGATACAGCTTTTATTATCCTTTTAATAAAGTCGCTTGTGCACAAAACAGCCAAGTTATATGCCTCTTTTTTTGTGCCTGCAGCTCGTGAAAAAAGAGGAATTGTACAGGAGTGTGTGGGCAGCAGAGGCCCCGGCTGTAAGCATGGAGGAGGAGCGCTGCAGACAGATGTGAGTAACGGTGCAGACATTCGATGCCTAATTTGGTTTTCTGGGCGGGTAGCTGCTCCTCTGAGCTGGTAGTAAATCCAGACAGGAGGGTAAAAACTTTACAATCTACAGCTCTCAGCCCCTCGGTTGTTGGAGAAAAGAGAACAGCAGCAGCCGAGTGTTGGAAAGGTAAGAAACTCGTGCGTCAAACGGAAGAAATGCTTGAATTTTTGTAGTAAATCAAGGTGAGTTTACCACAGGGAAAGGTTTTTATTCAACTTGTTGCAGCATTTCCATATTCTACCAGAGAAGAATGAAACACGTTAGCTTGTAAACTACATTTATGTATTAAATAAATAAAAATCTAAGGCCTTTTAACAAATTTTTTGTTACTTTCATTTTAACATCAGGTTTGCAACAAGTTTAAATAAAATAAAGAGCACAAAAAAAAGGAAATTAATGGTATTTTGGCAGTAATTTTCATATCTAAGTGTTTGTCTTTTCTTTTAAAGCTTAATTTAAGTGTTTTGTTTAATTTGTCATAACCATTTGTTGTTTGTGTTCATGTTGTGTGGGGTGGGAGCAGGGTGTGGCAGCCTGACAGGCACCGCAGAGATTGATTTTTACTTAAATTATATATAAATAAAATGAAACAAAAGCACGGCTCACAGGCAGCGCCTCACCGCTTTACATTCTGTCAGGTTATGACAAGATAAATAACTCTTTCTCACCGAGTCAAATAAAGCATGAATGAAGGAAGCAACAACTCTTATTTTGATGATTGCATCTTATCCAGATGTACAGAAAAAAAATGTACAAATTGTCACTTCTTTTATATTAGATAAAACACAGCTGCAGAGATTTGCTGTAAGTCATTTTTATTTTCGCTAATGACGAGCGTGCATCACACACCCAGCTGCAAACGTGCTCAAAAAGTTGTTTTTAAGGTATGAATTATGAAACATTTGTTTTTTATGAGTCAATCTGTGTGTTTGTGGGAGTGGGAGCAGGGTGTGGCTGGAGGCACACCCACCTTCAGCGTCAGTAAACGTTTCCAGAAGCCTCAAAAAATGCGATATGAACTCTGCTCACCTGAGAAATGCTCTCGTTTTCCTTTCTGTATGATCCAAAACCACCTCTGAAGGATTCAGGTTCCTGGATAAGATTTACTGATAAAGGTTTAAAACTGAGCTCATTGTTGATAAGGTGTTCTGGGTCAGCCTAACCCAACAAATCAGTTCCTTTTGTTTTGTTTCTAAATCTTGTTTTAGACTGTTTTCTGTAAAAACGATGACGGGGCTTCAACCCTGACATACAAGCTGTGACTCACAGGGCCCGTCTTGTGCTTCGACCCGTGGTCCAGCTGTAACTAGATTGAGGAGAAAATTGACTAACTACTGATGTGCCATGACAACCAAACAAACACATGACCTTTCTGCCTGAGATAAACATTTGTTTCCTGAACAGCTCAGCTTAAAATCAGAGCACAAATGGCCACATCCTGTTTCAACGTGTGCACCTACGGGAGCCCCGTTTGGATCGTGTTTTTCGTGCTGCACAGTGAAATAAAACCACTTTTTCCACACTTCTCTCTCGTGTCATTTTCCTCTTATGGCTACTTCTTTCCTGACATGATGCCATAGGCAGCAGGGCAACGGTTGTGGTATTTTTCCGTCCCTATACGAGCTGAACGGTGGTAGTCCAGCCATAAAGCCGGACGGGGAGCGTTAAGAGAAAAGGAGGGAAGTGGATGGAAAATGGAGGAGCAGCTACAGTAATACAATGGAGAGGGGATAAACACTTGGCAAAACTGACAAAGTCGCCAGTTGTTCAGCAACCGCCACATCTGGAACACATCAGGAGCTGGAAAATCTTACAAGGAATCAGGGAGGAGGTGAGGAGAGAAAGGAAGAGTGGTGAAAGAGAAGAGGCCGGTGCTGACTCACTCCACTGCTATTCCACTCCATCGCTGTTTGCGTCCTGAGGCCGAGGCGAAGGGCTTCCCCCGTGTCCCCCCACCTCCCACCACACCATTCCCCACCTCCTCAGACGCCCTGCTGAGGGTTTGAGCGGCCTTTAGCCCTCTTTTAGCTCAGCTTTCCGCCCCTGCAGCCTCAAAGTCTTCCACTGGTGTTGAAGAGGGCTAATATAAACAAGTCTTTTCTGTTTATATCCGTCTCTCTGTGTAAACCAGGAACTGGGAATGCAGAACTTGTGGGGCCAACTGGACGAGAGGTGTCTGTGGGGGATGGGACAGCCAGCTTGCTTTCTAACTCTTTCAGTAGCTTCAAATCTCACAGAACAGTTGGATACTTTAGAGAACATTAGTGAAGAAAAGACGACGGACGCTTTTTAGTTCAACCAACTTTTAACACAAATCCTTCTTGGACACTAAAAGGCTTAACGATCTTTGAAGGAATGCATGTCGCCCGCTGCCTTCCCAGTTAGTTTTAAACTAAGACCATCTAAAGTTGTGATGGTAGAGTCAAATAAAGTTAGATGGCTGTGGCAGCTTTCTGCTGAAAACACAAATTAAAGAAGGCCAAAATGACAACGCAAACACCTTCTAAGGCCGTTGCCCTTTTCATTAATTTATGAGTATTTGTACCTTTTACCAATTATGTATCAATTCAATTTGCTTTAAACCGTCGAATCATCTCCAGATCGCTGTACCCCACAGGCATTCATTTTGGGTATAAAACACCGAAAAGCTATTTATTACTCACCACACGAGCGGAGTGATGTTTTTGTTTGTATCTAGTTGTATTTGTTTGTTTGTATCGTTAGCAAAATATCTCATTAATCACAGCAAACCCATGTTAGCAAACAGTTTTACAGATGTTGCGTTAAAACTTGGTGTGGTAGTAGCTGGGCATCGCCCCAAACTCAAATGTTTAGCACAACACATTGCGCATTAACTGTCGGAATCAATCCTGTCTGTCTGTTAGCAAAATATCTAATAAATAACTAGACAAATTTCAACAAAACTTTTAGAAAGTACCGGTAATCACCGGCTGCACTGATTACATGGTTGCCACAGCTAATAGAGCTTAGCTTACACATAATGGCTGCACTGCAGTTAGTTTTAGATACTGAGATAAAGTTTGTGCTAACACAAAATATCACATTTCAAGAGATTACCCTCAGCGCTATTTTTTAAGGTTTCGTTAAGATGACTTAATCTAAAACAATGTCATGAAAGCAGCAGATGATACGTGTTCCATAATTTTATCTCTTCTGGAGCTCAGACTTGCTCTTCCACTCGTGGAAGCTCTCAGCTCCAGATTTTCAGAACCTCTCTGCACACTTCAGAGCTCCCTGGGAGTGGGAGTGGAACAAATGATGAGGGTCATGTTTAGAACACGTTGACAGATACAACGAGGGGTCGCAGGGCGCTGCGGCGCCGCTCCCATTCCCGAACATGGGGCGGAGGAGGGCCTCATCGTGGAGGAATGTCAGTGAAACACTTGGCCCGGGAATACCCTTCAGTTTGCAGATCCTTAACCTCCGTGTCAGAAAAACTGAGTGCGTGTTCTCCAGCTGACTGGACCAGACGTGAATCTGCTGTGACCGCTGTGACCACAGTGCAGCCATTATGAATTGTGTTCTCATGCGCCGAGTTGTTGTGTCTACTGTTCAGGGAATACAAAGAAACATTGTGCTCATGAGAAAGAAGGCGGATGGAGTTCAGAGCTGCAAGCTGTTGGCCTCACATTATTTGCTTCATCTCAAAGCATTTTAAAAACTTGATTTTGTTTTTTTCTTCTCTCCACACAGTTCGCTCTGCTCGAGAGGCTGATGCTAAAAGGCTGAGGAAAGAAACTCGTCATTTGTAACAAATCTCATCATGGCTATCGTCCTGAAGTCCAGCCCTCTGCTATGGACACGGCTAGCTGCTCTGGCCTGTTCCTGTGTGGCCTTCTCGGTGGCCGTGCACGGCGCCAGACTCTACCACGGCACCGGGGACTTTTGCATCTTCTGCTGGGCCTTCAGCTTCGCCGGCACGCTTCTCGTCCTCCTGGTGGAGCTTTTCGGCCTGCAGACCAAAGCCCCCGTTTCCTGGAAGAACTTCCCCATCACCTTCGCCTGCTATGCCGCCCTCCTCTGCTTGTCAGCCTCCATCATCTTCCCGCTCTACTACCTCAAAGGTTCGGGAGGCCAAAGTGAGGTCCGTGATTTCCGCATCGTGTGCACTGTTTTCTCCTGCCTGGCCACTATTGCCTACATGAGTGAGGTGAGCATCACTAAGGCTCGTCCGGGTGAGGTCGCCGGCTACATGGCCACGGCTCCCGGGCTGCTGAAGGTCTTTGAGACCTTCCTGGCCTGTATCATCTTCGTCTTCATCAGCGACCCCGTGCTGTATGACCGCCACGATGCGCTCAAGTACTGCATGTCCGTGTACTGCATCTGCTTCATCCTGTCGGCAATCATCATCCTGCTCTGCATCGGCGAGTGCACCGGCTGCCTCCCCTTCCCGTTTGCCCGCTTCCTGTCAGCCTACGCCTTGCTGGCCGTCGTCCTCTACCTGTCGGCCACCATCATCTGGCCAATCTTCAACTTTGACCCCAAGCACGGCGGCTCCAAAACCAGGCCGTCCAACTGCAGCTCGGCGATGGGATTGTGCGTGTGGGACAAGAACATGGCGGTGGCCGTGCTCACCGCCGTCAACTTCATCCTCTACCTGGCCGACCTCATCTACTCCACCCGCCTGGTGTTCGTCAGCGCCTGAGGATGAGGGGGTGGGGGTGGGCGAGCAGTGTGCTCCAAAGGAAATTGAATTTGGCTACATCGTTCAAAGCTGTTAAACTGCTGTCAGACATACTGCTGCAAACGCTAGTCTCTTCACTAACCAAGTTTGTTGCTGAACAAAACGAGACAACACACAGTAGGCCTTCAACGGTCGACAGCAAATGTATCGAGGTTGTTTTAGTGCCAGTGAAAGATGCTTTTCAAAATAAGAAACAGATGCAATCATCTGGTAAAAATCCTAATCTTGGGCTCAGATTAATTTATTGCATCTACAGATGAGCTAAGTTTTATTTTGTTGAAGGATACTGCACGGCTGAGGATCTTAGAGTGAAATGAAGAAGATCAAAGTGAGGCTGAAGTTACGTTTTATGTACAAACATATTTCCCAGAAAGCTTTCCGTTTATGTTTTATCTTTTTTTTAATGACCTGAACAAGCAGTTATCTTGATTGTAGGAGAAAACAGTGAGATTGAAGGAACGTGTTGACAAATGATCGCAGCAGATATATACTTTTTGGTGTTTGACTTCTGGACTGTGGTTCTGTGGAAAAGTGTGAACAATTAATATCTTACCTGTTGCCGATAACTTTGAACGACGTCACTCTTGGGGAAACAGTTTAATTTTTAACAAAAGTAAAATGCTGTCGTCTTAAATCAACTCCGATGTCAGAAGTTTCACACCAGTTTATGAGAAAGTTTTTATACAACTTCGTGTTCAAAAGCTCTTTTGACGATCAGTGGTTTTAAAATTAATCTGCAACCGTTTTTGTTTTTTCAAGCTTGTAGTTACAGTTGAGCAGGTCATTCAGAATGTTTTATTGGGTTCCATTAACTTCATCTTTTATTATTACTTTTGTTTTACAGTAGTCCCTCGCCACTGTGCGGTTCGTTTATCGCGGACTCGCTCTATCGCGGTTTTTCAAAATAAGATTGGACATGACACACGACTGGCTGATTGATGGATGAGCCGCACGATCGGCAGGAATTTTTATCTAAAATAAGTTATTTAAAATTATTTAGCATGTGCTGCACCTTTGTGCAGCCCACACTGTAGGATAAACTTCCTGCTGCAGCTGATCAGCTGTTCTCCGTGCAGAGCTGAGAAGTGGGCGTGGCCAAGAACGCTTGCAGGTGGGAACGAGCAGAGGAGGCGGGGAGCTAAGTTCATGACATTCTGTCTTCTTTTTGAGCGTTTAGAAACATTGTTTAGAATATTGCAAGAGTTTGGGAAGGATTTAAAACACCTTTACTACTTGTACTACTATCCCTACTTCACGGTTTTTCACTTATCGCGGGTCTTCAGGGTACGGATCCCCCGTGATAAACGAGGGACTACTGTATGCTGGTTTTATTGAATTGTAGTTCATCTGTGGTGCTTTCAAGTTTAACTTTTCACCAGAACTTTGGTCAGTGAGGGTAATTTTTAAATGTCTTCTAGAAATAAACTTTAATTGATGATTATAAATTCTAGTTTAAATTGATCAACTTATACTTGGGTTTTGTATTACGTGGTTATTTACCAACAGTTTTATTGGTATGCACAAGCGAAAGCACAGCAGCAGCCATCTGTAGCACTTCCAGTGCAGCACATCCATCAGGAATCAAACTATTTCTGCCCAAACAACCTGCTGAGATTGATGACGATGTAAAGGTTTTTAAATGTTCTCATGAAATGCAATTTATGGGATTGGACGTATTTAGACACAGCGGCAGTCCAATCTAAGCCATGTTAAACTTTATTTTTCTAAGCTCAAGTCGTTCAAAGAGCTATCTGCGACAGGTAAGATATTAACTGTTCATAACCTTTCCACAGAACCCCACTTTCAGAAAAAAAAAAGTTTTTCTTACAGGAATAAGGTTGGTGGATTCTTCTAAAGTAAATCTGAGGCAAAAAAAAGCCGTAAAACACCAAAACGTAGAATAAAATTTGAATAAATTACAAGATTTAATCCAAGCAATGTATCTAAACATATAAAAATAATTTAAATACAATTAAAAAAATACATTTTTATCCATGACCAAAAATAAGTACACAGTATTTAAAATAGTATTTGGAGAACAAATACAACAAAATAAACTTAACAAACAATAATGACTTGAAAATATAACAAAACTAATTTAAAAATCAGAAAATTGTAAAGTTCAGTTGATACAACATAAGAACGAACAAATATAAATAAAAATGCTTAAGAAAAACTGATTTTACAAATATGAAACTGTTACGTTATTCTGAAACATCCCCTTGTTTTAAGTATTTTCAAAGATATTGTGCAGCTTGTATTTTGAGTTTTTTTGTTTTTCTTGTTTTTATGAAAAATACTGTGTTTTACTCCTCAAGACTCCTGCTTTACCTAAATTTCTGGTTTCTACAGGGGAATTACCCACAACGCCCAAACGTGTGCATGTGTGTGCATGCGCGTGTGTGAGACAAATGAAGGCAAACCGAAGCAGCTGAAGGATTATTGATTTGTTAGATATTTGTTTAATGCATGCCAGTACGTCAGCCAGATGTGAAATATTTCATCATGTCAATCAAAGAAAAGAACAAACGTCAGATGGATGAAGTCAAAATTAAATAGTTAAGACTTCAGGATTTACATTTTTAATGATCTTTAAATCAGTCTCAGAGTCCAACAATAAAGCTGGTTGGGTTCTTTGTTTCTTTCTCTTCAACTTTGGATCCATTTGATGATTTAAAACTCAAATCCAGGCTAAATTAATTAACGTGGTGTAAATATGAATGTTAGGCTGGCTTTTGCTACTGTTATAGTTGCAATGCAAGCTTCAGTCAATGAAAACATACATACATGTAGTAAAACAATGTGTATTTTCTTAAAACATGAGTATAGTTCAAATACTTTTATGTGCATTTTCTGTTTAGTTTTAGATTTGTTTTTGTTTTTGTCTCTAAAGCATGTACTAAGAGTAAAAAAATGGTCAATTAGTTAATTTTTTTAATTGGATCGATTGGTTATGTACGGCTGAGGAAACACTCAATGTGCTTTGAAAATGTATTTTTTTATGTTCTTAGGGTTTTAGTTTTTACTTTTTTATTTTACACTTTTTTAAATGTGCAAACCACAACAGTGTTGTAAGAAAATGTAATCCTGTGTTTTAATAAAATCACATTTAAAATGAACAAATGTGGGGGTTATTATTTATTACAGGACATTTAATGGTCCAACATGTCGCTCCTTTAGGGGTTTTATATTCATCCATTCATCCATCCAACCATCCATCCATCCATCCATCCAACCATCCATCCATGCAGCCACCCATCCTTCCATCCATCCATGCATGCATCCATCCATCCCATCATCCATGCATCC